GGCGGAGGGGGGGTTGGAGTCGGTGGGGGAAGAGGGGGAGGCCATGGTGGAAAAAGAGAATAGAATTTTAGGTATAGGGTGAAGGATAAGGAGGAGGGCGCAGGATAGGAGAGAGAGAATGGTGGTGAAGGGTTGTTAAAGTGGGGAGGGATGTGCGGCTGAAAATGTGACGTGGGTGGATGGGGAGGGGAGCACCGCTTGGGAGAGGGGCTAACGTGCGCCGCGGGGGAGAGAGGTCCACCTCTGACTTTGCCCATGACCATTTCATCTAAATTACCTCTTTGTGGGGTGTAATTAAACTTACCCTTACCCTTACCCTTACCCTTACCCTTACCCACCGCCAAGGCTCTCTTTGCTTTTCCTTGGCCTTTGAGGCCGTGGTGCTATTATTAGTGGTGGGGTGGGGGGAGAGAGAGAGTGAGAGAGTGAGAGAGAGTGAGAGAGATACACCCAATGAAAGCTGCCCACTGCTCATCACGTGCCCTCCCTTCACAAATACTCCTCACTTTCATATCAACTCACCCCCCACTCAACTTCCAACGCTTCTACCTAAATATGGGACTAATCATTACTTTTTTACTTTTCTTTTTTTTTTTCTTTCACTCAAGATAGATTTTTAACTTTGAATTCATCCACACCACACAATTCAGAGGAATACTTTCAGCCCAAAATAAATTTTTTAATATCAAACATTTCATGTTTCAAACAAAACTAAAAGTCAAGACATACTTTAAAAAATACAACATATAATTATTTATTAATCAAAAATTAAAGTTATATAGTATATTTAACAAGTTGTGAAGTTACTTTTCAAATTTTAATTAATAATATAATTCTAAATTTTACTTTTCTAAAATATGTCTCATATTTATATTATTAATAAAAAGGATTGTTTCATCATTTGTGTTTATATATTTTTGAACAATTTTAATCTTTATCATAACTATCTTTTATAAATTACAAACCTTTTATTTTTATTTTTTTTGTAAATTTCACTCTATAATTGTTTGTACTTTTAATATTTACTCACTATTATATAATTTTTATTATATTATTTTTTAAAATAATTTACAAAAATACGGAGTGTTGTTTTTTACACTAATCTTAAATAAATGTGTTAGAATGAACTGTTTGGAAACTTAATATGTGCGTCTAGGAAAGCAAATAATAGTGTTTTCTCTTTCACTTTTACGTCACAAGTGATGTGAGTTTAAAAAAAATGCAGTTCCAAACGTTCTATAAGTAGAACTATTAGAATCGGTCTTTTGAAAATAACACGTCCTAAATTCAAATTTTGTTAGGGAGATCCAAACTTATAAGAGAAAAATCGAGTTCTCAATAATCACATGTACTTTTAGTGACAATTGCGTCTTATTGTTACAGTAAAATTCCAACTTGGGTGGGTTAAACCTAAAATCTTGTTAAATATCAAGTTTCATTATTACTCTGACAATAAGTATAGGTGAAAGAGAGTTTATCTATAATCCTACTAACTGCCAAGAAGAAAAGCACCAAAATTCACTGTAGTTTAAAGTTACTACAAGACCTTATAGTCATGATCTAATGATTAAGTTTTTTGAATTGTATTTTCTTTAATTACTTTACGAATAATACTTGAATTTTGTGATCAGAAATTCATGCAGTAACTTGCCACGATACCATGTTAATTGCAAAGTTTTGGGCTAGATTAGAAGCTACCATGTAGGATAAATGTTTCATAATTTAAGCCCATATTTTCTTACGTAACTTTGCCACGGTACACGTCGAAAATTGAAGTTCCTTCCAGAAACACAAAACATTACCACTGTTAAAAACTACTAAAAGCTTCTCCACGAAATTATATTTACGACGTGAATTTTAAGACTAAAGGTGTATTTGTATTACCGTTATGTTGCGCAACACCATACTTACTTTAGCTTTTTTGTATTGAAATGTGAAAAAAGTTCTGTTTAACAAATATTAAACGGTTTTCTAAACAAACACCAGAAGGCTGAAGAAACACACCACACAACTTCCATAGAATCGGTCAATCAATTCTATTCTATACCTCCACCTTACGTACACCTCAACAGGTGAATCAAGAAATGTCCACTAATTTCGTATCACATAATGCTTGCAAATGGGAGTCATCAGCTTGCATCTCGGGGTCTAATCCCATCACTGATCACTCTATGATGATGAGATTGGTGCTGTTCTTTCTTTTAACACTAATATAAGTTTCCGTACAAGGAAAAAGAGAAATAACAAAATCATGAAATATCCACAGTCACATACCTATCAAACTTCTTGTAGTATACTCAACTGTATTTGATTTGCAATCAGCTATAATTTGGTGCCGAAATACCTAAAATTATTTAAACCACCTCAAGCATTAAAGAAGTAACTTGAGCCCTAGATCCATTCCTGTATTGCCTTGATAGATTGAAACCTTGATTACTTAACAAAGGTGGAAAAAATTGAGAGAACAAACGAATGAAACTGAGGATTCAAGACTTTTTGTCCATTCTCCGAAACCTCAATGAAACTGGGTTCTCCAAGATAGAGACTTTAATATTATTCCAAATTTCTGATTTAGTTGGAAGCTGAGTAATTTTCTCTAAAATTTCCATATCTTCAGATAGAACAGAGCCAAACACGGTGTATGAATTTCTCCATTCCTTGTGGTCCGCGAGACTAATGAAGAATTCTGGACCAGAACCAACCCATGCAACAGATCCTCTACTTATGGTAGGACAGTATTCTTTTGGAATATTCTTGAACATAGACCCATAGGATTCCAATGTTCCTTGAACAAGTGCAAAAGGAGGGCCATATTTAGTCTACATCAACATTCAAATTCAAAAACACACCACAAGGGGATCAATAAAACAACAATCTGGAGGAAAGATGTACAAAAATGAAAGTTAAGAACAAGGCAGCTAGCACTGGACATGTTTCCACCATCCATAAACAGACTTCAAAGAAAGATTATAACAGTGACAATGAGGATTAAACTTAAATCCTCGTGCATCTACTTCAAGAAGAGACTTCAACTATTTTAAAACAAGAAAGCTAGAATAGAAATGAAGCAGAAGTAGGTATATAAAACAGTACCAAGCAACCACTAGTTGATTTTCTCTTTTCCCTCCTTTTTCTCATTTTAATGGCCGGTACAGGAAAAGGGCCACAAAAGGTTGATAGTTAAAACCATCAAATGCAGTAAAACAGATAGTGACAAGAAATATTGGTAAGAGAGGCAGGAAAACAAAGGAAATTATTTAAATTGAAAATATGCTAGCAGGAATTCAGCATGGAGAGTACAACTTTGAAACCTTTGATTCAAAAGACTTAATTATTCTTATTCTTTTGGTAATTGGTAGTAAGTATTAAATTAAAACGATAGGGATATTTGAACTGAACAAACTCTAATAATCTCTTAAACAAACTCATTAGAAGTCTAAAGGGGAGCAGAAAATAAGTATGAACACTTCCAAACATTTTCATGTTCTTTACAATGGCTAGTCCAGTCATAAAGAAAACATGGTGAAGTAATATTGGCAGTCAGTATAGAAGTACAACAGTCAGGCATGTGCTGAGCACGTGTCTGTCTCGGTATGTTATACACACAAGACAGGAACTGTTAGTCAAAGTTAATTCATTTACAAAGAAATTGAAAGAGAGACGTTCCTATGGAAAAAAAAATGAAATTCAAATTAATTCATTACATAGAAATTGATGGGAAAAATAATAAGAAAAAAAAATAATTAAAGAAGAAAATCAACACAGTATCAGCAATATTACACGCACAAATTTGTATGCTTATTTACATAATGAACCTTACCCTTTTAATGTGGTTTCCTTCTGAATCCCAAAAGCTTCCTCGGCTTTCGGCACGATGAATCTGGCAACCAACACAATGAGGCATCGCCAACAGCTCAAGAATGTAGGCAACAGAATGTGGAGCACATTCAGGCAAAAGCTGTAGTAATGAAGGATTAAAACACATTTTCAGTTTTCTCCTATCAATCTATCTAATGAACAACTAGAAGAACATTACGACCTACATATCTAGATATTGTCCATGATATAACATTAAGACTTACAAGGCTTTGTATCTAGATATTATTCATGATATGACATTGCAAGTTACAATAACAGCATGACTAATGCAATAAGGATACATACAGTATCTTTAATGATTATCGTGTGAAAAACATGTAATCTGACATTGCATTAGATAAAAAATAAAATAAAATGGGTGCAATTAAGGGAAATTTCAAACAAAGTTTAAAAATCTTTCTTCTCTTTATCTCCAGGCAAATAACTAGCTTTTCAACAAGCTTCTGCTACAGATACTCAAAATTCCCAGTCCGTTTGTAAAATGACTGAACAATATCACCTATTGAAAACAAAACCAATCAACCAAACTGTTAAGAGTTGCTAGTTTGTTAGAATAATTGGTTAATTGTTATTAGTTTGTTAAGAGTTAATTTTTAGTTCTAATTAGCTTTATATATGGAGCATATACACACTCTATTGTATTTTTTATCAATCAATTATATAATGATTTTCTATGGTATGTATGCTTACAGTATGTGTATGTTACTTGTATTTTCCCTCAAGCCTCTTCATCTCATATTTCTGCTACAAACATACATATTGTCCAAAGTTCGGCAAAGCCCATTATTATCAAGGCATGTATGGAATATATTGGTCCTCCTTTAAAGTTTCCACACATAAATACAGAAAATATATGTAGAAGCAAATTAGCAATCTACTTTTACAAACAGTTATAAATAATATGCTTTTTAATGAGTTTTTCAAACACATTGGACATGCCTCATTTGCTAGATTAAACAATTAGGAATACATGATAGAAATAGGATAAAGTAAAAAACATGTCCAGCATAATACTGCATATAAAATAACCAAGGTAAAAAGTCCAATGAATGTAAATGATATATAGTAAATTGAGCATGCAGGGAAATACTAACTTTTATGCGCAGAATTCCATGGTCTGTTTCCATGCCAACAATTCCCTAAAAATACGTGTATTAGGGAAAGTTAATCTATAGCTCAAAGATATAGAGAAAAAAAAATATGTACAACAATCACATAGCTTAAGGATGAGCAAAAAAAAAACATAAATATATTTTGAGCAAATTATAATATTGCTTACACAAATACATTTATGGACAGAAAGATGTGATAAATGATAAATCTTAATAATATAAAGACTTTAACTATAGGAAAATGAAAGAATAAAAAATTAATTAATACATTAGAATGAAGCGATTCTAACATAAAGTAGCATTCTCAAAATACGTACAGAAAGTAATGTGGCTTAGTGTCAGAAAATCCACCAAAAGTATTTAGAATATGCAAAAACATGAATGCCAAAACATTAACAATTAACTGGTAGGGAATATAAAACTTGGGCGTTATTATTTGTACAGCAAAAGTTTCTGCCCCTTTTTACAATTCAAAGGGGGAAAACCTTCTGCAGTTCTTTCTACTTTTTTCTCATCAATAATATAAATTTTAGTATAGAGAACTTTATATTTTATAATATAAAACTTTTACAATTTGGTGCATTTGGTTGGAGCGCAACTCTAGTATACTTGAGGAGGTTTCAATGAAACAGCACTAGTTTTAGGATAAATTACGCATTTGATTTCCATTTGGTGTTTAGCACATGGCACATATAACGGAATTTTCCTAGTCAATATTTTGAGAGACTGGACGGCTTTGTCTCATAGATGTTCTCTTTTTTCTTTGTTGATTTTTGCTTGTAGTTTTGCTGAAGAGGATTCCTTATCCTCCCTTTTCATTCTAGTTTTTTTCCCCTTTTTCATAATGAATTTATTTTTTATATTAAAAAATAAAATACTTTTAGAACACAGAAAATAATTTGATACAGATAGTACATATCTCAAAATTGTATATGAAGTATATGCCAATGCGAGAACTAAATACAATAAATAATATTCCTACCTCTTCCTTATCGAAGACAAATCCAGAAGTCCACATAACTAGATCTCCAGAGTCTCGTCGATCAGGATTTAAAGCATCCTTTTGTCTTTTCAACCAACACTGAAACGAAAGCAGGAAACAATATTAGGATCATCTACTACGCATAAAAAACGGGGATATTCCATTATTATATAATTGTATGTTTGAAGCAAAAGCAATAATAAACTATAAACTATACCAACCAAAAAAGAATATCTTTACAATGACGGTACTATTATGCCCAACCAAATTTACGAATCAAGATTTAGATCATAGCCCATTCATGATAGTCATTAAGCCAACTAGATTCACATATGTATGTATATGTATATATATATATATATATATATATATATATATATATATATAAATAGAGATTTATGAAAATCTCTACACAGAATGTCATGAGACTGATCTAATTCACTTACACAGAATGCAGCTTTTGGAAATAAACAAATCTATAGGCAAACTTTGAGTACTAGGTGTGTCTATTTATGTTTCCAAACCTAAGTGAACATTAAAAAAATTGTTGATCCAACTGGGCTAGAATTGACAAGAGAATGGCAAGTGGCAAACATAATTTAATAAAGTGATAGAACATGTTTAGCTACAAGTTTAAAAAGAACTTTTGAAAGTTTCTCTACTTAAAATAAGGAGTTTTTTTTTCCACAAAAAATTCTCAAAAACACTTTGAGCTTGTATCCAAACAAACTCGTAACAAGACAGACAAGGACACGATGGGAGTAAAAAAAATAGCATACACCTCATTCTAGTTAACTGGAGCCTACAGAACACTGGCTAGCCCCCCCTTCTTAAAATCTCACCCATCAAATGGGATTTGAAAATCGGACCTTCGAGATGGAGTGTCCAATGCACAACCATTGGGGTCTCCCCTGTAGAACAAATAGCATAAAAATTGAACCTTAAGCTAGATCTCACAATGGGGAGTTGCATAACCAATAAAAACTGCCTAATAGTGACAAATAAACATTGAATGAGCCAATCAACACTGCTTAAAGTCCTAAATCACAAGTCACATATGACAAAATCAAATCTAGCAATGGCAAAATATAAGAAATGCAGCAATACCTCACCAAATCTAGGTCCACAAGCTTCCCTATCACCACAATACACCCACGAATTACACAAACAAGCCCCTCCCTCGCCGCTACACGTTCTCTTACAAGCCATGCAACATTCCTCAGAGGAATTCAACCTAAATTCAGAACCCCATTTCACAGCATCGCCCCAAAGCTCCAAATGCTCGACCCCTCTGCAACATTGCTCCTCTTGTGCACCCCTCAAACCCAAATCATGATCCGTTGAAGGCAAAGACTCGGTGCTGGGCTTGAAGACCACGGTAAGGAAAAGGTAGACCGCGGAGCAGGAGATCGCGCCTATCAAGAAGAGAAGGAGAAGCGCGAATCTGCCGAAATCTGAGCCGTTTTGGCGACGACCCATTTTTCAGATTGCGGAAATGAGGTGCCTTTCTTCTTGGTTCTTGGTTCTTCTTTCTTCTTTTCTACGTTTGAGGTATGGAGAAGAGAGGGAAATGGAACGACAACGACAACGACAAGAACAACAACTTAGGCGGATTTTCATTATGAAGTTGCAACAAACGCAAAGGTGATGCTTCCACCGCAAAAAATAACGACACGTTATTTCCCATCTTTGCTTCTTTCCTTCTTTTAAGTCTTTTTTCCTTTGCCTTTGTGTTTTTATGTTTTGTAGACTCAGCTTTGTCTGCTCACTATTTTCATCTCACATTGTGCGCGCATACTAGTTAGTCTGTGCATGCATAATTATTACTTCATTATCTCATAATACGTGTTGCAATAAACTATTCTATACAAAATAAATAAAACATAATTGTAATTTTATAAAATTAATAATTAATTTTCTTTATTAAAAATTATGTAACATAAACATTATTTATTACATAATATTATTATAGATACAAATAAAAAATAATAATTAATACGATTTTGAAAGATTAATATTATACTTATTTTAAAACTTTTTTTTAATATAACACTTATTATGCAATAAAAATGACTTTTTTCAATGATAAAATGATGATATTCGATAGTTGTAATTTTTAAATAATATATGATGGAATCATGACTATGAGAGTAAGAGGTGACACATTGAAAGATCTAAGAGGAATGAGTTAAACATAAAGATTTGGGCTAACTTAAAGCTTAATGGGTTCGGTGGGCTTGGTGGGCCCAAATTGCTCCTCACATGGGGCCCTACCCTGAGATTTCCATTGTCTTGTATTTATATATAATATTAATATAGGTTTCATATATTTTTGTCTTGTATTTTGGATTATTTAGACAAGGTTTTTAGGCCTTAGGCTTAGTGGGCCTATTTTTGGGTTTTATGGGTCTTTGGTATTTTGGTACCCAATATTAGATTCATTTTATTCCTTTTATTATTTCCTATTGTTTGCATTTGATTGGTCATTATATTTAAGTCTTTAGAGTAGGAAATGGGAAGGAATGCTAAAATAGGTAAGTGATGCCAAAACTAAGTTTCATTTGGAAGCCATTTGAGTTGAATTTGGGTCACATGTTTTGAGCCATGGGTGGCTGAACATGTATACGCTCAAATCAAGCTCAAATGCTTGATAAATGAAACTTAGATGCATCTTGGAGCCTTAATTCACGGCCATGCACATGAGGCTGAAAATTTGAATTCAAATTTTGGGCGCCAATTGCATGTTATTTGAATTGGCGCCAAGAGCCTTGGTTCCGGTCATATTTAAGTAACTCTCCTTCACTCTTGTATTCACTTTGAACCATTTTGAGAAATCTGACCATTTGCTTCAGCAAAGTTTCTATCCTTCAAAGTCATTCACGCCTAGTTTCTAGGTTCCTAGAAAGCTTATAGGATTAGGCACCTTGTGAGCAATCCATTGTTCCTTTGGCTTTGATGCTTCCCTCTAGTTCTAATTCCGCAAATCTCATCTTCATCTCTAGAATTTGAAGTCTAGAATTGCCTTAAGGAAAAGATCAAGTGACCGGAGCAAAATCAAGAGAAGATCATCCATCTTCTTCACCTAGTTTTGCCATCAATATATAAATATAATATTTAGTGTTATTGGCATTTTTTACTATAATCTTGATAAAATAATTTATTTATTACTTTTTTAACTAGGGTTTTAAAAAACAATTGTTATTTTGTTTATACTTAATTTTAAATACAATACTTCATTAGCTACTTGATGAAGTAGTTGATTAGTGTAATTTAATTGATTATGAACATTCTAAATATTTTTAGTTACTATTTGATCATTTGGATCTGTTCTTTCACCTATCATTTTGAAAGGAGAAGCCACTGCTACTTCTTTATTTTGTATATTAGGAAACTTAACCTCTTCTAGAGGAGGTATTATTCCTATTTTTTCTCCACTAAAAGTTTTTCAAATTTTTTTTGTTGATTCTAAAATATTTATTTGTAAATTTTTTATACAATTTTCTTCAAACCATGTAAATATATGAAATGTTTTCTTGTATTCTTTCTAATTTTGAATAATACTCTTCTCTATAATTTTTTAAGTTCTTCTCGACTAAAAGTTTTTTAAAAAAAATATCTTTTTCTTTATTTTTAGTATCTAAAAATTCTTGCCTTAGTAATCCTTTATTTGTTTCAAACTTTTTTTATAACATTTATTACACTTTCATCTTGATGTAAATCAAATTGTGTGGGTGAATTATGGGGTATTAGCAAATTTATATTCATATTCAAGTATTGGGATTGTAAGGTCTTTTTAATACCTTTTAAATGAATATTTCGAGGTATTATAATACTAGATTAACCTTAAGACCTTCTAGCCATACTAAAAGTTGATAAAGATAAGGCAAGAGTTCTAAAAGACATAGATCTCCTTAGTGGAGTACATGGTACTTCCATTGTTCCTTATTTATATTCAATTATGCCACCTATTATGACAAATTCAACTATTAAAAGATTTTCAAGTATCAATTTTAAACCTCTGATTATTTCATTGTATCTTAAAATTTTAAGTGTCGCTGCATTTACTTTTTCTGGATTTACCAAAAGTAAAGTAGTTTCATCTTTTGGAGACATTAACAATGCTCCAGGGGTTAATTGAGTTTTCATTACCTTATAATATATTCCATATGCTATAGTAATTGGAAATGAATTTTGATTCCATTCATCTTCCAATATTTTTATGTCTAACATAATATTGTTAGAAAAAGTGTTATAGAAACTTTTAAAGGCTATTGAATAATTCGAGTAATTATTTATGTAAACTAAACCTTGATGTAAATTAGATTCAAACATAGCCAAGATTTGATTTTCAAGTTTTATAGGTCAATTATTTCATAAGGCTACAAGATTTGATTTCCTAGTATGAACAAAGATTTTATGGCTACTTAGATAAATCTTATATGGAGCTATCTATAAGTTTTAGTATGTTTTGCAATTAGTTTAGAAATTAAGAGTATAGTTTCATGACTAAATTTTAATTCAACTTCCTTTTCTATGATTTTAATCACATTCAATTTTAAACATATCATTCCATGAAGTGTTATACATGGATGACATTTCTAATTTAGGAAGAGTTAATTTAGAGATTTGATGTTCTATTTCTGGAATTATTAGCTCATGTTGAATTATACTTGAATTAGTTTCTTCTTCTTGTTCAAACATTAAGTTTTCACTTAACTTTTCTTTTTCTTTAGACAATATTTTTTTATTAATCTTGACATCTTAAGGCCAAGGACTTAGATCTAATGAGATCATCACAAGGTTTACTACCACTTCTCAGGACCTACAACCTATACTAACTGACCAAATGCTAAACTAACCTTTCCTTTAGGACGAGTTTGATTAACAAAAAACATTTTCTTAAAAAAAGATTAATTTTTAAAAAACTTAATTAATTTACAAGTAGAAAAACTCAATTTAATTTTATGCAAATTAAAAGTTTTTAAAATAACTTTTTCACTTTCAAATTTCTTTTGTGATGTTATAAATATTTAAATTAAGTTGAATATCATTATAGTTTTGATTATTAAAATTATAACGATTTTGTTCTATATTTTATTAAGTTGGCGATAATCCTTGATAAACTTTTACAATAATTAGTTAACCTCTTAATATATTTGTTTATCTTTCTAAAATCTTGTCTAAACTCTTCAAAATAAGTAGAAAAATACATGCATATTACAAGTAAAATAAAAATTCAAGTTTGGATCTTATACCAAATGACATTATATGTGCAATAATTAAAGTTGAAGTAAAAGTAATTAAAATAAAAATAAAAAATATGCTTTTATTTTAATTACTTAAAATTATCGATTGTTCTAAACTTAAAAGTATGAAAGTGTTGACATCCACAAATTGGAATCAACATTCTTTCACAAAAAAAGGTTTGTTGAGACCTTTCATTCCCTAAACCCTCCTCCTATAATTACTTTGATTACCAAGAAACTTGGTATAAGATTCTTCAAGGAAAGAACCCTGGACGTTTATGGTATATCAATTTTAAAAATAAATTACCAGCTGATTTATTAAAGCGGAAGTAAAAATAATTAAAATAAAATATTATATATTTAAGAGATGATTGATGTAACAAATTGCAATAAATGGGTCATGTAAAAATGAATAATCCAAGTAATAATATTTATTCCAAAACAATCATTCCATAATTGAATAAGTGTTTCGAAACAATGATTAAAAAATGGTACATAATATGATGAATTCATAGTAATATATGTGCCTCAGAACAATTATTTTAGAATGATTATTTTCTAAAACAATCATTCTAGATTGATACATTATATTTTAGAACATTCATTTTAAACCAACATTGATTGATATAAATAGTACTGACTTATGTTTCAGACATTATTAGAAGAGGAATACTCATCTTGTATATGCTTAAATATTCTATTAAGACATTGTTTTTGATTGTATAAAAAAATCATTTCAAAATATGCAAAAATAAATAAATGATCCAAAACAGCCATTTTAAGTGTGGTTTGGAGAATAAAAAAGAATTGAGTGCAGATGGTGAAATGAGAGGTGCAAGAAGCAAAAGGCCTTAATAGGAGAGGTGGCGGTCCAATGCCAAGAAAAAGTCGCCATGACCAGGAACAATGAATGAATCCTGAAATCAAATAGGGAATAAAGAAAGAGCGTTAGTTCAATTTTGTTTTGTCCATCGAGGCACCTACTTATACATATGATAGTAAGGCATATATTCAGATTTCAGAAGCATTTGTTGAATTGAAGTGAACCACAATAGCACAATGGGTATTCCGTCGGAACTGGGGGACAAAATGTTGGTGTCCAACAAAAGGGGTTTCCTCATTGCTTCTCCCGCAGAGGATAGGAAGATTTTGAGGACCAAGCAATGTACCAGTGGTATTCCTTGTTTTCCTTTTTGCTATTCATTTCTCAAAATTTTGTTTTTTATTTTTAAAACATCATTAAATGGAACATGCATGATGTTGATTATCGTTTTTGGTTGCCCCCCTCCCATGTTAGGACTATCTGATTTAAAGTTAGGATTGTTGATTTGATCCTTGTTTTATTCGGTAAAATCTATTTACCCAGGAGGGTTAAGAATCAGTTCAGCTTGTTAATTTTGTTTGTGGATCTTCTCTGTCTCAAAAACTAAAGATTTGGAATAAATAAATAAATAAGGGGGTATTGAGGAGGGGTGCTAATAATTTATTAGTTGTTAAAAGGAAAATAGGCATTGAGTGGTGATATAGAATTATTACATGCTTCAATATTTCTGCTGATTGGGAGAATTCAAGTAATTTTGGTTTTCTGCTGATTAATAATGCATGTACATGAGATTTTCTTCAACAAAGCATGGTGTGTATATGCTACATATTTTCTAATATTATTATGATATCTTGTTAAAGAGTACCATAGATGTAGAGAAATATGAATTATATACCTTTTGGCTTTTTCTTAATATGTAGAAGGAGTGCGTGCTGGATTCAAGGCAGCTTCCATTGCTTTTGTCGCTAGTGCTGTGCCTACAGTATGTAACTTTTTTCATTTTGAGATACAGTGCTACATTTTTTTTTTTCATTTGTAGTTATAAACAATTTCAGTGAAACAATGGTTATGTTGCCTTTTGGGTGCATGTGCACCTTTCGCTTGTACTAATGTGATGTATTTTGCTGAAGATTGTAATGATGATGTGTGATGTTGGGCGAGACTTAGTTTTTTGTTTGATGATGTGCTATTATTGCTATGGTTTTGCACTGATGATGTCCTCAGAGCTGTTTTGTTTAGTGAGGTGCTCACAAGGTGTTTGTGAAAAATCCTCATTGACAACATATTCGGATTGCTGTGGTTATGCAGTTTTACTTTGATAAAGGCTTCTATCCATAGTTGTTAAGCATTGTTTTAGCTTCTTCCATTGATGCTTAAGCTTTAAAACAATTTTTTGCTTCTATCTTGAGTGGTTAAGTCTTATGTGTAGCTTCAGCTTTGATGGTTAAGTGTTGATTTAGCTTCTGCCTTATGATGGTTAAGCATTCTCATTGATTTGTGTATCTGCTAAGTGGTTAAACTTTGAGGTATAGTTTTTGCTTGGTGATCAAGTTTTTGCCTTGTGGCTTAGATGATTTCAGCTTCTGCCTTGAATGGTGTTAAGCTTTGTACATATCACTTTTAGCCGTTGTATTTCCATCATATTCATTGTATTCACTTTGATTAGATGTGCACTTTTAGTGTTCATCCCAAGTTGGAAGTGTTGTGAACACCTTCCAGCTTGTGAGAGCTATTAGAAATGTAATTTGTATTTAGAACATGACCTATATAAAGGCTCACACAATCATGTCGTAAGCACACTTGCTGATTCAATCAAATAGCATTTTCATTTTGTTTCAATTTCTCTCATTTTTTCACTTATCTGAACCATGGATTCTAACACACCTTTCTCTTTTACTAGTGCCCTATATTTTATCGGCTTGTTGGTATTTATGTCTGCATGAATTGGTGAAAATGAAGAAAGTAAAATATTGTCAAAGGATAAGACTCCACCATCATTTCATACAGGAAACAATCTTACCCCACCAGTTGGCATTAAGTAGCAATCTACCACTTGATTTTAAGGTTTTCCATGACTCAAGTTTAATATAGCTGTAAGCCCTTGTGTTCTGTGCACTTGAGTTATGACATCATCAACTCAAAGATGCTCTTTGTCCATAAAAAATCTTTGTAACTTAAGGCTGTAAATGAAGTATTGAACAGTTTGGATTTAAGGGCCTTTCTCTAATATATATTCCTCTGGCTGCTAAAATAATGTAAGAATGAAGAATGTTATTGTCCCTCACCCTAATACTAGCTGTAATGTATAAAATAATGTTGATTGCTTGAACTTCTATACAACTGATTTGAGTTGAAGACCAAGCTACCTTTTGAAAACTTTTTCTTTTTTAGTTATCAAATAATTGAAAGTTTGATTAAGAAATCTAGCAAACAAACTGTATTTGTTGATGATAATAAATATTGTTGGAAGAAAACACTAAATATTGTTTGATTTCACTATTATATATATATATATATATATATATATATATATATATATCAATCATTTTATGCCTCTTTATTTAATGTTGCATTTTTCTAATTTGCAGTTAGCCGCAGTTCGCATGGTTCCATGGGCAAAGGCAAACCTCAATTATACTGCTCAAGCACTTATCATATCTGCTGGTATGTTCTCAACTTATAAGAACGAAATAATTAATTTGAGATGATGCTATTAGGTTTTGTATATACAAAAACAAATCTTCTCAGTAAGTTCTGCACGGTTATCTGAAATTGGCTTCAAAGCAAGAAGCAATTGATCTTGGTGACATCGTATTAGCAAATCCACACATTCATGATGTATGCACTTAATAAAAAAGGCTTGCCTCATTTTCAAAATTCAATGAAACTGGAACTTGGCTCATCTTTTTTCTGCTGATCCACTTGTATACGAAATTCTTTTTCCTTTAGTTTAACTATATATGTGGAGTGTTTGAACACATATCAAGTTTAACATTGGACTGTGGTTGGTGAACAGCGTCCATTGCTTCATATTTCATCACTGCTGATAAAACTATCTTGGAGTGTGCAAGGAAAAATGCTCAGCTTGAAGATGCTTTGAGACACAATCAATAATGCAGTTATGCCTTAGAAATGCAATATAAGTGTCCATTGTTTGTCTTGGTGCACGATGGTGCTACTTGTTGTAATACAATCAGCTGGCCTGTTGCAAAGTTTTTCTTTTTGGGTCTGTATCAGATGGATTTCAAGGTGTATATTTTTAAATAAAATGTTTATCTTGTGGAGTTGTCACTCCCTGCGGCTTCAGAAGTTGTAAATCTAAGCTATGCAATTGTTGACTTTAATGGTTCTGTTAGCTTGAGTTTCCTCTATATTTGTCATCAACTCATCATAAAAATACAAAATTCTAAGAGTACTTTCACAATTAAGTCTGACTCTAGTTGCATTTTATTTCACTCTCAGTCTCCTATGACCCGATTTTAACTGGCTACCCAAGGATGTTATGAAATGCGTTATTGATAAATTATTTCAGTTCTATTTGTTAAGTTTTCAAATCATTGCATATCTAAACAAGTTTTAAGCTTGAATTTAATCTCAATTATATTAATATGTTGGAAACGATTATCTTTGGACATAATTACTCCTCTCCCTGCAAAAATGGTTTCTCTTACGGAATTAATAAAAATAATTTATTAATTTTAAAAATAAATTTGCAAATTGCGTGCATTTGCTTTTGTTTGCACAAATTGTCTGTATGCACGCGCGACTGTACGGGGGACAAAGAATAAATTAGGTGAGTTTTTGTGATATGATTGATAGATAATTGCCATTTAAATATGTAGTGACTAGTGAAGGATTGGATCTCGTGTGTATGAAAAAAATGTTCGACAAGGTCAACCTTTTAAATTAATGTAACTTTTAACTTTTTGGTTTGGAAATATCTTGGGTTCAATTTTTTTTTTAAAAAAAAAAAAGAAAGAGAGAGAGAGAGAGAGAATAAATTAGGTCAGTATTATTTTAATAGGATGATAAAAAAAAAGTTTTTTACCATTCTATATCACATAAATAAAGATTTACATAACTTTAGCTAGGCCTTTACATTTAAAATTGAACTATTTATATTGAAGGTTAAATTGAACTTTAATGTTGATTACTATTATTGATTTAATAAATGATTTAAAGAATTTGAAATACAAGGAATTTGAATTTATTCAATCCAATTCATTTAATTTACAAAGAACAGTTTATAAAAATTTGAGAAGTTGAGAATTGCCCAATAACTGTACTAAACGAGGAAAATGAGACAAAGACAAGGGAATGGAAGGAAATAGCAACGGCATGCCTTTAGAAAGATACAAAATTACTTTATAAAAATAATTTTACGTAGTAGTTATATTTTAATTCATTGGAGGAACTACTTTCCGTAATATAAACATAAAACATTACAAAACTTACTTTCCATGATGTACTAAAATTATATTATGGAATAGCATGAGCCTTTGCACGATATGACAAATAGTTTTAACGAATTTAATTCTTTCCAGAGACCTAATTTTTTTTTATATTATTATACCATTTTCTTCTTACCCTTGCCAACGACAAATTTATATACCAACCTTATTTTGGGGAGTGAAAATAGTACATCATATATTTTTTCATTCACATAGATGTTTAACTTGTATTTAACTTTTTTCAGTTCCGACAACTTGTTCACCTGTATTTTTTTTCTTCCTATTATGTACGTAAACTCCAATTCTAACCTCAAAACAATAACTGTAAAAGTGTTGTCCTCAGTTTCCAATGCACTTATCATCCCACTGTTAAGAGTAATCATACTCGGCGAAAGACATTAGACATAATTCATCTTTCTAGATTTCTATTAGATAAATTAAAATGATGTGTATAATTCACCCATTAAAGAATTGCTGTCTAAGTAACATCAACTACAAAATGTCAAGTTAATCAATTGCCCACCACGAGTTTTATGTCATCAAAGCAAATTGATCCAAATTAAGTCTTGTAAACGCATGTGACAGGAAATCAGTTCGAAAAACGTCATCCCCTAATGGCAGAATCCATTCGGAAGAAAAAGAAGCTCGATGAGTGCATTAGCATGCAACCACACTACAAGATTAGTAAATTGGAAGCTTAACATTATTTGGCACTTTACCCAGAATTACAATGTCATGAATGGAACAATTTACAAAATTTTTAGAACTAAATCATTGTCAAAAATGCAACTAAAATCTAGAGCAATGCATTGCAGAAACCAATTTAACCAAAGAACTTGATGAGGGGCAACACCCTGCAGTGTACAAAAAGAACACAGTGGAAACTAAGACTTCAACAAGTCAGAAAGGATCCCTCATACCATGAAGGGTAATGAAATGGAATCCTATCCCAAAAAACTAAGAGCCATGAAAATCCTGATTGCCACCAATTATTCACAAGCAGCACAATGATGTGAAAAACAAAGCATGTAGAGAACTCGGATATGCATGAACTAAAAGAAAAAGAAAATATCATCTATGTAGCAAACCTCTGATATTGGTCAGAACCACTTTTGAAATGCAGATATATGACTAAAAAAACCCTAACAAGCTTTGAATAAAAAGTCATGAATCTAATATTCTTATTTCTCAGGCATCAGCTTCCAGTGCTTTTCTAGACTCCAAAAATCAGTACTTTCTGCTTAAGGCTGATAATATGGGGTGAGAGTTGGAAAGCAACTACCCAACTGGAGATTAAAAAGATCATGAGAAGACCAAGTCCATTAACGCATAGACTTCCTAGTGTAATATTTTGGTTAGTTCATGTTTGCCATTGGGGCATGAATTCTCCTAAATCAAGCTGAGTTCTCAACCTGGTGCATAAAGTGCCGAGTCCCATGATTTCTTGAAATTCAAAATCTGTCGGTAACAGATGATATTGAATCCATTTCAGCTACTTTACAATCTCGTAAAGTTGCATGTTCCAATGATATAGCACAGACACAGAGCAAATGGTCTTCCAATATTATGCAATTTGGAGGGTAACAAAGTGCGCAAAAAAATAATTGCATCACAAAAGGAAAAATTCTGAAGGGAGCAAGTAAACAATCTTAAGGAAAATATGCGAAGCGATGCTCCATTTGCACCTCGTACTCCCCCTCAGTACAAAATATCATGTTACAAACACTCCAGCAACACATTATCAGTGCATCATGCTTTCTAGGATGTTACTATATCATAATCTTTCCTTTATATTTATTGCCCACGTAGCGCTCATATTACTACTACCAATGGTAGTTCCACAAAATGCTCGGTAGTTTACTCTTGTTCATGATCATAGCACTGGCAAAAATATAATTAATCCAAAGAGCAATAATATATCTCTGTTGTGAGGAAAAAAACCAACTTTTTGACAGCAGGAAAAAAATCCAATAATCCTTAACCAAAAAGTAATATCCAGGGCCTTGTTTCCCAAATGAACAGGATATGGGGTGATCTTTCACATTACCCACCCATATGGAAGCCTTATAATACGAAGTTTAATTTTACATCACATGCTCAGCACTTCTCTTTCCGTTTTAATCAACTTCAGTACTTACAGCATAAATTCAAGAACTCAAAATATGTCCATTGAGAGAAGACTTGAATTGACATAACCCCTGATTTGTGACAAACTCCCAAACCAGGCAATTACTTGGTAATGTTCAGCTCCATACGGTAGGCATCATAATGACCATAAGCTTCAAATTCCACATCCTACAGCAGCCTCTTTATTGTATTTGGATCTGTTCATAGACAAATTCACTAGTGACCAGGTGTTCCACCTTTGCCAGTCATCCCCCTTACGAAATATAATATGGAGATGCCATTCAGGGGTACAGCTCTTGGAGAAAATGAGATTTACATATTCTGGTTCTTCCCATGTACTTCACAAAAGGCAATGGCAAAGAGTTAGAAGACTTACCTCAATAATAAGACCCAGATCCACCTCCACCCATATAACTGCTGCTACCACCCACACCTCTACCAGAATACATGGATGAATATGAACGGCCACCAACCTACAGCATTAACAATGCCATGAAATATAAGAATGTTATAGATAGATAGCCATAAATCACACTACTTCCATTTGAGAAAGACCAAAAACATTACATCACTTCCACGAGATACGTAATCACCACCATAACTTGATGAGTACATACCACTATCACTACCACCAAAAGAACCTGACATGCAATACAATAAATATGTAAGCAGTAAGCAAATAACATTTGATGTTTAAGATAACATTTCAGATTATATGTAAAACAATATCCACCTCCACCATAACTCATGCCTTGCCGACTACCATATGTCCCATGTAAGTCTTGATTAGATATAGAACTTCTGCTGCCACTGTATCCAAGACTAGATCTTCCAAGTCTTCCAACCAAAATACGAGGAATAAGTTACTAAAGAACAGGATTGGAGCGAAAAGAATGCAAGAACCTTGTTTAAAGCAAACTAACCTATCACCATAAGCATCTCCATACTGTGAAGCACTACCTCCATAATCATAGTCTAAACGAGATCTTGATTGGCGAGTACCAGTATCATATCGTGGAGGAACATCATCCTGATGATAAACAAACAAACAACACCACCTTATCCAACTAGATTCTGATGAGAAATTAAAGTAAAAAAATAATTTATCGAAAGGAGAACTAAAATGAGATTTAAAACAATAGCATTAAAAAAGTGTTTACAAATAATACTTACAATAGCAGTATAAGGACGTTTTGAACCAGATAGAGTGTCATAATCACGGGGGCGTCCTTCACGGTAACTTAGATGCGGAGGAGGAGGAGGAGGCCTCTCAAATCTCTGGCCATAGCCATCATCAACATAACCTCTCTTTGGTGCAACACGAGATGTACTTCTATGTAGCTCAGGGTAGTCAGAGCCACGGGTAGGATAATCCATATAAGACGTGTGCCTCTGAGAGGCTACCCTAGAGCCATAATCTGCAGCAACTCTACTTCTTGGAGGTGGTAGATCCTCACGTCGACTGTAATCTCTTTTTATGCCACTTTTAGGATATGCAGGAGCTAACAAGTAACAAGACATCATAGTATATTATTTATAAAGATGGATTAACAAGAGGAAGTCATATAAATATAAATATATAAAATTCATACCAGTCAATCTCCTGTCATAGGTTCTAGCTGGAGGAGCCACTGGCCTGGCTCTTTCTACCATGGATGTGACAGGACGTCTACTTCTCACACTAACAGGTCTAACTGGTGGACCACGACTTCCAACTCCTCTCACCACACCTCTCACCACACGTGCGGGGAGACTACGTGGTGCAGGTCGACTCCGTGAAGGCCTAACCAATCTTCCAGAATTGCGTCCGGAACGGAAGTCCCCATGATTAACATGTTTTCCACGACCTCTCTGGAGAGGTTTTGAAAGAGGCCGTGACAATCTAGCCCTAACTTTTGCCTGAAACAAGCAAGAAGCATTATAAAATGCCACATTTAGCTGTTGCATATATACAGTATATTTAATGCCAAACAGACCTTTTTGTCACCTTCACCTAACCCTGCACCGGTAATGCTTTCAGCACATTCCACAGCAGCAGCATGCGAACTAAATGTAACAAATCCATAGTTCTTCCTCCGAGCAGCTGGCATGTTCCTAGCAAGCTCAATTTTTTCAATCTCCCCATATTTCTTAAGAAGATCCCGGACATAATCTTCATCCCATGAAGGAGGTAGTGAATCAATAAATACAGTTTTAACCTGCACTCAGATACACCAAAAACGAATAATGATTTATCTGCAAATATAATTTGTATTAATTTTTAACAGCTACATGGAAGGGATAGAATGTATGCTTGTCCATGTACAAAATAATAAAACTTTCAGCCTGCCCACTCTAATGATCTGGAGTAAAGTGGGTTATAAATTTGTAAAAATTCATTAATCCAAAGCAAAAATAAACCCAGTGTTCTTTTATATAAATCGGTAGAAAACCAATACCAAAAACAAATGAACAACTAACTGATGTTTGAAGCCAACATAGTCATTTACAAGCAGCCCAAATGCTTCAATAAGACTGAAGAACCAAACTTGGTAGTTTCTATATAATGACCATTGGAAAAAGCAAGGAAATCAGATTCAGAAAAATACCTGTGCCATAATTTCATCACCCAAATCAATAAATGAGTCAGCAAAGGAAACCTTTGCAGGCTTATCAACTCCAAAAACAACATCTCTCTTTTGCAATCGCCTATAGGCTTCCTTAGCATCTGAACGAGAAGAAAACTCCAAAAATGCAAATCCTCGGTTCATTCCCTCATTGGTATCATCTTCTACTAAAGTCAATTCCTCTATATTTTCTACTCCATAATGTTTCAATTTCTCCTTTAACTGGCACAAGATGTTGCATTAACAGTTAAAATCTCAGGCCTTGAAGGTGGTGAGAAATAACACTAATAAGTCTAATATGCATAACTAGGGCCTTGAAGGTAGTAAGAAATAGACCAAGAGAAAAACTTACAGCTTCCTTTTTCCAAGTCTTGCATATGTTCCCTAAGTAGAGAGTATCACTGTCCTGACTTGGAGTAACACCACATTGTTTTCCATTAATCTGAAATTGTTGTAACAAAAACATATGATTTAATATACTAGCAAATTTAAACCCGATCTAACTATGATAAGATCAAAGATTACCACTGGATTTTTTAGCTCTGTCACAGCTCTTTTTGCCTGCTCAACAGTTTCAAAACGCAAGAATGCAAATCCCTTGTTCCTTTTGGTCTGGGGATTTATCATCAGCCTGACTTCAGTAACTACCCCAACTTTACTGAAAACCTTCCTCAGGTCATGCTCAGTAGCATTCTTATCTAAGCCCCCAACAAATACTTCAAATTCCTTCCGCTTTTGCCTCTCCTTTACAACTTCACGGTGTTCCTCATCTTCCACATCAGGCATTTGTGCATGCTCATCATGAGTATGCTCCTCACCAGCATGCTCATCATCATCATCCTCAACTTCTTCATAAACATATTCAACTTCTTCATCACCTGTATCAGCCTCTTCTTCACCTACATTCTCTTCTAGATCTTCCTCCACTTCATCTCCCTCCTCCTGACCATCATCTTGTTCAATTTCCTTTTCATCATAGTCAACACCACCATATTCCTCCTGTTCATACTCGGGATAATTATCCTCCAAATCTAAATGTTCATCTTTTTCATATTCATCTATAGACTCCTTAACCTCATCTTCATTATCTGCCAAAAAATAAATATTTAAAATCATCCCAATCAAAACGCACTTCACTTTTCTGGTTTTCTATCATAGTAATAATTATTAAATTATGGAAGTCCATGCTCCACAATCAATCCTCATCATTCTTGGTCCAAATTATTTCCAAAATTGCATAACACAACAGAAAAGGAATGAGAGACAAAATAAATCTGACCCCACATAGCATATCCGATCTGTACAACAGCCTTCCATCTCAAATTATCAAAAAGTACAAAAAAAAAATCAATAATAGGTAGCATCATCTAATCATAATCTATCATAAAAATGCATTCTACGAATAGTTCAATAACTTCACCAAAATTGTTAGGAGGGCTATAATAATTTCCAAATTCCTCTTACTACATAATCAAGCTATACTTTCATCTGTGATTTCCTAATCAAATTAATATATTCATGATGAACCAATACACAAGTGCAGAACTCAAGGTTTTTTAAAAGAAACCATCTGCCACCACAATTTCAGCCACAAAATCGACATGCTTGTGTCGCATCACGATCACAATTGTAGCTGCATCTATTTGCAACTTCCCGATGAAACCACGACTGTCACTGCAACCGCAATTTGAAAGCGTGGCAGGACCCAAATTCACATGATACCCATCTTAAAGTCCAAGTAAAATTTTTAACTTTTGACAAACCCCGTCTCAGATAACATCCACAGCATACAACAAAAGTTCAATCACAGATAACACTGCCCATATTTCACCTTTCTAAGATCCAAATAATAAAATTAAAAATATATATATATATATCTTAAAAAATAAAGGACTTACTTTCCACCTTAGCCGACCCATTTGGAACTTCCTCAGGTTCTTGCTCCATGTCAAGGGGCTTCTCTTCCACCGCAGCATCAACAACTGAATTTTCTTCATTGTTTTTCGCAACCACTTCCGCAGTTTCAGGCTCTGGTTGGTTCTCAGGTGCAGCCTTTGGGGATCCCCTCGCTGCCCTGTTGGCCGCAGAGCGTCTCTTCACTATTCTTCGAGACACTGTTCGCATATTTAATGGCCCAAATCAAAGAAACGAGATTCTGAAACAATGAAAAAAAATTTGACCCAATTTGAAATAAAACCCTAATTTGCAGAAGATGGAAGGAAGGATTCGGAAGGTGGAATGCGAAATGAAAAATTGGAAGTTTACCCGATTGGCGAAAATGAAAAAAGAGAGGAAATTTGGCGAAGACAGAGACAAAGGTAAAACACGGAAAGAGAGCGTGAGAATCAAATAGAGGCAAAGGGAAAAGCAAAACCCTTGAAAATGAACCAAGCCGCGACGTTAGTTATTAGTGTTTGGAATAAGTCCGTGGGAGATTATTTTATTTTAATTTAATGTAATTTATTAAATTTTGTATTTTATTCTAATAATTTTTAATATAAAAATAGTAACATTACTGATATATATATATATAGTATTCTTTTTAATATTATATTATATTATATATATATATATATACACCCACACACAAAATTTGCTTATTTAGTCTTCCTTAATCTTTAGTTGGAATATATTAACATTTTACACAAAAAAAAATATTAGATAAAAAAACCAATCATCTCTTCTATTTTAATTGTTTCATTATTAGAATATTATAGTAATTTTTATTTATCTTTTTAAATCAACAAAAAAAAAATTCACATTGATATTCATCTTTCTTCTTTAATTCCATAGAAAGTTATGATGAACCATTGTCATTTTTTCATAAAACATTTATAGATTCTCCTCTTCACTACCATGACAAAACCACTATGTCCCTTGTGAACCTCGAACCACCATCATCTCCGAACAGTGTCTTCTCAATATCGATGACATTCCTTCATTGGTGACACCCCTCATCAATAACATTGATGACACCTATCTTGGAAAGTATATACGTGTTCATCGTCATTTTGCTTATTGCATCAAACATAAATCTATTCCAATCTATTAAAATTTTAATTAAAATTTATGTCTTAAAAATATTTAAAAAAATTCTTAAAAATCATAATATTCCTTTAAAGTCTTTTAAGTTCATTAAATTCTACAAAACTTTTCATGTTAAAATAATTTTTCAAAATCTCAATCCAATATAATATAACTCTTTTAATCTTTTCTTTAATGATCTAATTAAAGGAAGGAAAAAATCAATAAAAGGATAAAAGAAGAGAATACATATTTATAAATAAAATAACAAAACTTCCCTTTTTTATTATGCAAGAAAATTAGAAAAGAGTTAAAAATACATTCAATTATTTTTCTTTCATTCTTAAACTAAACAAAGCACAACAGAACTTTTCCATAAACAAAATAAATAAGTTTGAGCATTTCCTTATTTTGTTCGTTAATTAAAATAAATCTTTACACAATATCATTTAAGACGTGCCATGACTGATTTTTTTCTTAAATTTAATTATTATCTGATAAAAAAAATATTCATCAACGTAACAATGTGACACATGCTTAATATTTGGGTTTAATAAAAATTTTAAAATTCTAATAATCGTTATTTTATGGCACTGTAAATTCTGTAATATAATCACAATATTAAACAGTTAGGATCAAATTAATGATAAGAAACTTAAGTGGTCTCAATATATAATAAAATTCTCAAAATATTGGACAGGTGTTGATGTGTATGGAAACTATTTTTTGGCCTGATTTCTTTTACCTTAAAACTATCACTAATTGGTTGGTTTTAATTTCGTCCTTCCAACAAAACATGGAAATAATATTTTAGTTTATACAAAACTAAGTTTAAATCTCAATGTGTGGTCATTGTGTGTCAACTTTGTTTAGTATAAACAAGTGAGTAGGGACAAAGTCAGGGTAGAACACCATTCATTCAAAATAGGAAGCTAGCAACACTTCTTTTTAACATTTTTTTTATTATTAATTAAAAGTTATAAGAGATCATAAATTTAGTAGATTCTCTAACTCATTAAATAAGTTTCTCTTCTAGTATAGAGATGAGACACAAAATTTATAATTTATAGTAAAATTCAATCAATAATGGATCATCAAGAACTATTTCATAACTATCATCAACATGTCAGGCGTACCATATACTACATTAAAGGCATACCTGTCTCTCAAGGGTTAGTTTTATAATTTGGAGGAATATAAATTAAAGAAATTTAATAAAGAAAAAATAAAGTCAGAAGAAGAGTTGATGACCACGTATTTAGTACTATCATCCAATAAAAATTTGGGAGAGGCTTATTTTTCGTTGCTTGGTTTGATGAAGCAAAGGAATGCAAATACATGTAAATGAATGAACGCTTATAAATATATCATTGGACTGTTTTCTTTTTTCCCCCTTACTTCGTATCCACAAAGAAAATGATGAAAACCTACTTTGAGTAAATTTTTTCATTGAAATTTATAGGCAAAGAAAATAAGAACAAGTGAAATAAACTTATTTAAAAAATTATAATTAGCTCATAATAAACTAATTTATATAAGTATAAACTTATATTTAAAAAAGTGTTTGCAAAAAAAGTAATTTTAAAAAATATATATTTTTTACAGAACAGATAGGAATTGTTTTTTTAAAAGAAAATAAAAAAATATATATATATATTTATTTTTAAACAAAAAAGTTTAGACAAACACATCAAACAAATTAAAAAAAAAACTTATTTATTTAAAAAAAAAACATTTTTTTAGAAGAAAAAAAAAATTAAAGATCACACCAGACATAAGATCGGCGTTTATTATGCTAAGATGTTGTCTATTATCAGTTCAAATATCACTGAAAACAACCAACAATTAGTATACCCACTAATACTGTTTGATTTTTAAATGAGTCACTAATGCAATTCACCAAATACATCATGCACTGATGATTAAATCACATATCCTTATACACCATTTTCTGAAAGTTCTCCTAAATCGTAAAGCTTGAGGAAGTCGATACAACAAACTAAAAGATCGAGCCTAACCAGAACCAAAGCACCATGATTAGTTGGAGACTTGGGATTATTTCCTTAAACATGGCCAAAATTTTGAACACTAGAGGCCCGATTTACTTTGAGATGTTTTAGAAATGGCTTGAAAATGTTCTAGAAAGTACTTGGTAAAAATGACACAAACTGTTGTCTTGTAAAGAAGCTTTTCATTTTAATTCATATATTAATTAATCAAGTAATAAATTAATTTACCTAGTGATACCTATATTTTGATATTCAATTAATTGCCAACTTTAATAACTGACATGATTAAGGCTAGACAGGTTATGTGACAAACATTAGTTGGTAAATTACCAATTCAGAGTAACAAGCAAGGATCATCAAATAATATTTAATGATAAATTCTACTTATAAGGTTCTTGTGAGAGGAGACAGTTTAGCATTCAACCTTGAACAATCGTAAAAGACCAATGCTCACTGCATTATATTCAGAATAACTGAAAATCATCACCTGCAAAAAAGTTCAGATTAAAAAAATGAGTATGCATTATGCTTAAAAATAGGTAAAGCAGTTTTGATTTCACTCAAATCACAGTAGGATAAAAGCCAGCGGTGTGGTTCTTTTAACTAGCTCTAAATTTATCATTAATTTGTTGCATTCCTGGTCGTGTTTTGCATTAATAGTTTCTGGTTATTTAAACTTTGCTTCGATGCTTACATCAAGTTTAATTTCAATTAATGATTGGTAAATGTTTAATTGAAGTGTAAGGATTGCTTATATGAATTTTTAAGCAATTTGTAAGTAAGATCATAACTGATTGACTTCAAAGCTCAAATTTGATATTAAGTCTTTATTAATTGATGTGTATCAATTACACGTTCTTTGAATGATATTTCATGAAGTACGAAAAATATTTTCCTTTAGACCCTCTCAATGGTTTTAAGAACACGCTTTCACAATAAGGTGTAAGACTGAGATGCTTCATTAAAGTACACTGGCTATATTTTTGGTCAAAATTGAACAAAGAAAAAGGAACCTTAACTAGCTGGAGAAACAAAAGCATATATGAATACAGAATATAAAATGGAAAACAAAGCACTTACCATTTCTTTTTATTCACGAAATGGCGTGAGATCAATGTTGAACCGTTGCTTCCCTTTGCTTACCCTCTACAATATATCAAATTGGAGTTAATCAAATATATATGTTCCAAACTACAAAACAATTCAAATTGTTTTTAATTTTCTGCAGAAAAGTAAATGTATCCTCACTTTAACAATCTACTACATTAAAAAACATTTTGATATAATACTCAATATATAAAACAAAAAAAAACTTAGTGAATGGGCTTCATATAATAATTCTGACTTATGAGATAGGATATCAATTTTCTTTCAATTTTTACGATTTCTGTTTTTTCCCCTATAAAATATTCCACTACAAGGCATGTTACCATTCTAGGTGATATTGCTAACTTAATCATCAAAAACAGATATTAACTTAATCAACTTTATTTATCATAAAGGGTATCTATTAACATCTTTCTTGACAAGATATTTAATAGCAAATACGATTTTTTTAATTATAATAAGAGAAATTAATATACCATAGGCCCTAGAGGTATGAAGATTAGTTTTTATTTAATGATTATAATATGCAACTTAGAATCATATATTTCAAGCAAAAACTTACAGCAATTGCTACAAGCTCTTCAAGTAGCTCCTTCAAGTGGCGCAGAGGCTGTCAAATAAGAGGATTTAGTACATAGTTCATTAAATGACCTATCCTATTTGAAAAAAAAAAATTATCGGGAACATCCAAAGGAAAAAAAAAATGTTGGGGAAATAGTATTTATAAATCTGATTGACTGTGATTAGCAACAACTCACCCACTGTGTCGGACCATCCACAGGTGCATTCAGCGGATCATCATGCACCTGGAAACCCAAAAAAGGTTTTAGAAGCTCGGTGATAGAGAAACTAAATAGACAAAGATACTCTTTGAATTGCAGATCTTGGAATTACAAGTATGATAACTATACACCTAAGATTTTACTCTGAACTACTTCCTTTTATGATAATACTAGAAAACTATAACTGGCATCAGCTATTCTTTGTACCTCCATGAAGATACCATCCACTCCAACGGCAACTGCTGTCCTTGCAATGCAAGGTATTAGTTCTCGAAGACCTCCACTTGCAACACCACCCCCATCCAACTATACATGAAAGAAGAATTTTAATCTAACCAAAACAGGTGTAACATTTGAAAAGGTCATTTCAGAAAGTTATTTAATAGCTAGAACTACTGAAGTCAGATGTGATAGTTAGGTTCGAAAGTATATATACTTAAATATCATGTGAGACTCCTATATTCTTAAAGATTTTAATGGAGATGGCATGGAGGTTTACATAACAAACACACGCAGGGAAAAAACACAATACTGCCAAATTTCTAAAAAAAATCCTCACGAATTAGCAAAAAATAGAAGCCACACATGAGCTTTAAACTTTTGACGTTGCAATTCTGAAAAGAAAACTATGATGTAATTTTCCCAGTAAAATTAAACGAGTGCATTTTGGCCTATGCTGTATTCATATACTATGACATGCCCAATGCAAATACAAACAAGAGACTGTTGAAATAAATTAAGAGAAATTATGTGAAAGAGAAAGGGAGAAAAAGAATTGTCAATGGTTGATATAAGATTGATGTGCTGTGCTGTGCTGTAAAATACAAACCACAAACGACCCTACTTGTACAGTTGTACAATGAATCTAGGTCATGTTCTAGAGTAGCACAACTAATAGAAGGCAAGCCCAACAAGCCTGCTAACATAATAAGATCAAAAAACACTAACAATTCAAACGTTCTAACAGTTATTGTCAACAGCAATACTTCAGCAACAAAAGTTTATTCCATTATTTTGTGATGTTTAAAAGCATTGCAGGCTAAGACAGTGTCGCATGAAATATACAGTTCAAAATGCAGAAAGGTTGCAAATCCATGTCAACATCAAAACAAATATGGGAATAAATACAAAAGGCACCTTCTTTCCAGCAGGTTGTTGTAGTGAGTGTGTTATATCCGCTACCTGAGGCAAACATCAAAATCAGATATTTGAGTTTTCTAGAAAATAAACAATTTACAGAGATACTGGAAAGAAACTTCACCATGAGAAAATTTAAATCAAAGCCAAAAAGATGCTTGAAAGAAAAGTTCTTTATAATAAGGGAATAGTAAAGAATTAAGTTCAATCTCACACTTACAAAAATAGTCAAATAAATACATGCACTCTGGTTTACTTCTTGATCGATTCATCAATTGAGTAAATAAATATTATACTAATTAGGGATTGCAAGAAAAGGAAATGTTATATGTACCCTTTAACTAAAAGATCAACAAAAATGAAAACCACTCAAGAATCAATTCTTTGCATAATAAATTCAAAATAAAATACACTTCTTCTATCCTTTTAGGGATACTACCAAAGATTATTTATAAGAGTCATCTGTACATTAAAACTTGGGAAATATATCTGGCCCAAGAAAATTTTTTTCAGGCAAAACGGAATCAACTTTCTCCCAAGTCACTCACAGAGAAAGGAGATATGTGAGCATTTATGAGAAAGTGCCCCATAGAGTAAGCAACTTTTACCATATCAAAAGGTGTATCAGGTTATTGTGTTCATGGGATTCATCTCATTTAATCAACTATAATCAATAATAATTACATTAAATAAATGATTAGGACATTGCCATCAAGAAAAGCTGCAGGAAGAAAGTGTCTGTTTCCACTTTCATTCAATAAGGCAGGATATAAATATTCAAATAGTTTTTACTTAAAGCATACAATAAAAGAAAGATTTACTTACAATGGGACAATTGGCTTCTCTCATCCACTCCAAGTTACGTGGATCAACAATCAAATCATCTGTATGAAAAAGAAGATTTTAATCAATTATGGGTTTCAAAAACAAAAGCACAAAGGGCAACTGATTTCAATGCTCACTTTTTCAAGGCAGTAGTAAACCTCAGACACACATTAAAAGTTTTGATTAAAAGGAGAGGCCAAGAAGGTGGTAACACATTAATAAAAATAAATTATAGGTTTTAATTTTGAATTAGATAAGAGAAAATAACACAAGACTACAATGAAATTACAACAGGTGGGCATGTAGAAATAACAAGCATCACTTGATATGGCCTTTTTTTGGGTAAACACTTAAACCACATCTTGCAGTACAGCAAAATGATCTAGAAAATGAAGCATTACATAGTGAAAGGAAAGGCAATAATTTACTCCACATAAAAGCAATTACTGATATCATTTATTGAATGGTTCCTACAAGACTCTCATCATTCAGAAACATACAGAAAATCTCAAAATAATTGCCTTTAACTCACTGTATCCAAACATTGTTCCCCTCTCACAAACCATTACATTAGGATTTCCAGCTAATCGAACCTTTTCAGCTGAATTCGACATGACCTATAGACATGAAACATATGAATAATGGTAAAAATCAGGAGATACTAATTTGAGGCTCAAGTCATTGCTAACTACTGAAATTGTAACTCAGTAAGTTAAATAGTATACTAACAGAAGGAGCGCAGAACTGGCCCTTCTTAATGTTGATAATTTTCCCAGTTTTGGCTGCTGCAACTAGAAGATCTGTCTGTCATTAGAAGAAAAATGAATGAAACAATTGAAGTTGGCAATAAATTGTAGCTTCCAATTATAATGGATATCAAAAAATATTTACTTGGCGACACAAGAATGCTGGAATCTGAATGATATCTGCAACTCTGCCAACTGCTTCACACTGGCAAAGAAGATAATGTGTCAAAGACAGATCAATTTAATAATTCAATATGATAATATATAACAAAAATTATCACTAATAAAGCTGTGCTAACCATATTAATTTTCAAATTTAGATGGGTACAGGCAATTGTTAAGGAAAGTATCAGTGTTAATAAGAGAGCCAAGCTAGGATTTACAAGATATAGTTTCATACCAATGAATGAACTAATAATGTTTTTCAAGTTACCGTTTCTATATAAACTGACTACATGAGGGGAAAGAACATATAAGAATTCTAACTATTTCATGATGTTAATGTTATATAAATAGCATTTGCATTTATCAGAGCATCACTTAAAGAAAACTTTGTGCTATTTTCTTCTTTCAGCACTAACAAACATGTAATGATATCCCTTCAAAACAACATATAATTAAGATCAGCCTAGTCTGATTGGTATGCCAAATAATGCTAGTACTGTATAGGAGCCTTGACCCATCAAGAAGGCCAAGAAATATGATTTCTATACAACATAGACAAACAGACAAAAGTAAATATGAAACAACAATCTTATATATAGGAAAACTAAACATTTTACCTGGATGGTCTCATGAACATCTGTCACTATAGGGATGTCATAGGCTATTTTAACCTTCTCTAGTATCTGAGAATAAAACAGCAACATAAAAGAAGAAAAACATTCAACTAAGATAAAAATAGCTTTATCCAGTACAAAATTCTGTAATTTTGACATAGTTAAACATTGTTATAAAGCAATTTACATGCGGAACAAACACACTAAATGTATATTACTGTACCAATGCTTGTGGCAATGGCTCTTAAAGGTCATAATTCCTACCTATTTAAGACTTCTGTTGTAATTTCCACATACTACAAAGATGGCTTGAAATTTTACAAGTATCAGTATAGTATCTTTTTTTTTACATTGGGGCTGCAAGAGGTAACATTTGAGTATTTGACCCATAGAAGCACTACTAATTCAGAACCTTGCATGTCCTAACAAGGAACCTAGATAGATGAGATTTCTCAATGCAATGTTAAAGGTGTACAGATGTTACCTCCAAACATTTAACTCCAAAATCTCTAGGGATAGATGGAACCAGACACAATATAATGGACATGTTAAAATCTTACATTAGTGGGATATATGAACAAAGTACTCCCTATAACGATTTGGATACTACCCCTACCCCTCTCCAGCTAGCTTTTTGGGGTTGGTTAGCAAAGGACAATTTTATATTACTCATTTAAAACTGAAGCCATTAAAAATTTACACAGAGCTAATACAGTCACATGTTATTGGACAATGACAACACCAAGAGATGTTATCACGCAAAAGTAGCAAAACTACTAACCTTCAATCCCTCGGCCATCCCTGGGCCACGAAATGATTTTGATGATGTTCGGTTAGCTTTGTCAAAGCTTGACTTGAAAACCAACGGTATTCCAACTCTGAAAGATGCGTATACATTCAAAATCATGTTAGCTATCGACAACGGTAAAATTAATATCAGGTCTACTAACCATTTCATTTACAAATTTAACTTTGACATTTAAGCGTAAGTTTCAACACCATCACACATGTGTTTGTCATGTTACTAAAAGAGTTTCACTTTCTTAGGAGTCTCACACTGAGTAGAGTAAAAAACTCAATGTAGTACTTAAACTATGAGACTCTCCCACTTAATGGACTAGTCTTTTGGATTGGACTTTCTTCGTGTGTTTAAGTCCTAACTCCTAACACACAATTCAAGTGATTATCATCATAGTCATACTTTCTGAATAACCTCCACACAAGCAATGGGTCAAAATTAAAACCTTTATTTTAAACACTAGGAAGGGAAAAAAAATATATTTAACTTTATACAGAAGAGAAGACTACGGAGAAGTTGGCTAAAAACCAATGAGTATTACTCCAATACCTATCTTTTTCTCCTGAGTATCAAACACCTAAGATAAGGTGTGAAACATCCATTTTATGGTAAATTCAACAACTAATAAATGTTTCACAACTCATAATGCTACAGTAGAAGTTCCCTAATGGATTTCCATTAAATCACATTGAATTTCTCATTGATAAAAAAAAAGCATTAATCATGAATAGAGACAATTACATACTCAGATGCAATACTCTTTATGTTCTTAGCCATCCTCATAATGTGCTCCTCTGATTCAATCACATTGGGACCCGCGAGCAGGAAGAACGGTTCTGCACCCTGGTGAGATTGAAAGAAACACAACCCACCAAAGAAATTAAAAAAAAAAAAAAAAAAAAAGGAATTTACACAAG